GCCAGACACTGGTGGATCATGCCTGTAATCTTAACCATTTATGAGGCTGAGATGGGAAGGATTATAATTCAAGGCCATCCCAGAAATATATAGGAGAACCCCTTGTCATGAATCCTTCAGACTAGTATGTGGGAGACTGAGATTAGGAGGACTGCCCCAGCTGTCTTCAGACCGAGATCCTCAGGGCACAGCTTCCTGAGTAGCTAGGATTACAGGCATGGGCCACCAGCGCCCAGCATCTAGTCCTTTTCTGACTTTCAGTTTTTGTTTGTGTGCGGTTCCCCTAAACACTTCAATGCAATGCTGTAAAAACTTGAGGGCTATTCAATCCTAGTGTATTATTTTTCTTCCCAAAATAGTAGTTGTATTTCTGATGATAGCTTTGCAAGTTTTTTATAATCTTTCATTATTGGGAAAAATAATCCTCAAAAGTGTTCACTACTTTATTCAAGCTCTTTTTAGTTAAGGATAGGCAAATGTAAAACTTAAATTAAGGAGGCAGTTATTGTAATCTTTTAAAAAAATTAAAATGAATCACTCAGGTGATCTTATTGGAGAGCCTTGTAATTTGCTCCCTGAAAGTGGACTTCCTTCTGAGTCTGGGTTAGGGAGTTCTCTGCTCCTGTAATTTACGATGCATTTTACTGTCAGAACTAGGCTCTTGTGAGATCCGGCACTTATCATAAATCACTTGAAAAAATAAATTGAGAAACGTCTCTACTGGATGGTGGAAATCCTTTATCTTTTAGTGGTTGTCCATATTATATTTCTTCAATGTAGTAGGTAATATTAAAAAAAAAACATTGAAGACCACTATCCTTATATCTCTGGTTCTGAGCTTTTTACTTTTGAACTTTTGGCATTTTATGATCCTTAGAGTCAGAGATTTTCTATCTGGGACTCAGCCTTGCACATGTCCTACTGATTTGCCTAATGTGTTACCTAGTGTTGTAAGGCATTTCAGCTATAGCTGATGCCAAGAAATAAAGTCACTTATTTCTCACATTTCCCTGACCAGGTTCACATTTGGTTTTTTTTCTTCCTTCCTTTTTTGGGAGTAGGATAGACCGTTGGTCCCTGCCTTAAACAAGAGGCCTCTGGTGCCTGCTGCAAGTTGGGGGCTGGGCCATTGCTCATGTCACTCTCTTCAGCTGGGCATCATGATTTTGTTTATTTATTATTTATTTTTGTGCCAGTTTTGGGACTTAAAACCATGAACTCAGGTCTTGGGCACTGTCCATGGGCTTTTTTCACTCAAGGCTAGCACTTTACCACTTGAGCCACAGCTCCAATGCCAATTTATTTATTTATGTATTTATTTATTTACTTATTGTTAATCAGAGATAAGAGTTGCATGGACTTTTCTACTTGGGCTGGCTTTGACCCACGATCCTCAGATCTCAGCCTCCTGAGTAGTTAGGATTACAGGTGTGAGCCACTGGCTCCCAGCTTTCATGTATTCTTTTAATGCTCATGTGCAGACATGGCATCCACATGCAGGTGAACAGGTAAAGTAGATCCCTCTATTTAGGGTACTGGCTGCACCTGGCATGAGGTAGCCAGGTTTATCCCCACGAATCTGGCTGTTGCTAGATCTTTAATTTTGTTGTGAAGAGTGAGTGATGATGGTTAGATCAGAAGAGGATCACTTGTTGGCTCAATAGTAACAAGGCTCCATTCCATGGGGAGGTAGGTATAGTATGAGCAAATTCAGGAAGGGTACTTGATGGTCATTTGAAAGGATTGTGGCTGTGACTGGGTTGGACAAGGTGTTGAGCAGTAGTAACCTTTGTTGGTCAGGCCCTTCTTCTAAATAAAAATGGTAATGTCTCAGATCTGCAGTGGTAATTTTAGGTAGCAAAAGTAGTCTGTCACCCCCTTCCTTACCTACTTTTGAAATTCATGGTGAGAGTGAGAGCTTCTTTATATTAAATGTTAATGATTTCTAATTAATTCACCACTTTTTAATTTACAACGTGTCTTTGCTGTCAGAAATAGCTTTTTAGCAGATTTTACAGAAAGAGGCAAGATCTCATTTTCTCACTGGAAATGGTTATGATCATGATTGGAACAGACAGAACTAGGGTTGAAGCCAATGAAAGGTAGAGAATCTTGCTTTATGTTGGGCTCCATTTGGAAGGTACAGGAGTAATCTCATAGACCCTTGGATATAGTAAATGAAAGAAGCCAGCTGAGAGGCGGGGGAAGAAAAGGCCTTAATAGCAAGTCCTCACTGCATGGGATACAGCCGAGAAGGAAGAGCAGGGCTGGAGACCTTGGTTTATCAAGTAAGAGGTTTAAGATTTTGAGCAAGAAGACAAAGGCCTCAGGTCTCTAGTAAGCAGGTTTAGATCTGCTTGCTTTTTTTTGTTTTCTTTCTTCTCTTCAGTAGGTACTATTCCCTTGCAAACATACTTCTAATTCCGCTCATCCCTTTCTTCATGACTCTTACTGTAGATCCTGAGAACATACCTATGCACATCTTATGATCATGCTTCTCCCTTGCTAGACAGTAAACTCCAGGTGGGAAAGGCTCATGGTATCTGTCTTATCTACCAACATACCCTAACTTTCTGGCACAGTCTCTGACCCACAGTTGGTGGCCAACAAATATTTCTATTTAGCAGATTTTTAAATACTAATTGATTAAACAAACTGATTTTTCAAATACATTCCCCGAGTGCTATCAGGAAAGGGTCATTTTCATCGTTAGATCACAAACTTAACTGGCAATGGCCAAGATCTCTGAAGGACTTTTCTACCCTCTTGTAGATAAGTAATATCCATGTTTTCCTTTTCTCTTTCCTCTGCATTCTATTTCCTTGACCACTGCTATACCTTATCAAGTTTCCTAATGACACATAAAACCATTTAGTAACCTCCCATGGTTCATCTTCCTCAATCCTTTCTGCCATCTTTCTTTGGTTAGGGTACATCTTAGCCTTGTCTACTTCTTTTGGATTCATCCAGTTAACAGATGACTTAAGAGTGCTTTAAAATGTTTAAAGCAGAGATAACTCACACTTCAAAACTTTACAACAAAGAGAAGAACAGATGTTTCTCTCTTGCTTTCTCCTATTTTGTCTTTATAGCATTTGAATACTTGTCTTACTGTTTTCAAACTTTTGGCTACCAGAACTCCACTCTCTGGGGTTTGTTATCCTGCCCTGTCTTGTCTACCTCTTCCTTTCCCATCTTTTAAGAGCTGGTATTTTCTGAGAGGATACCTGAGTCTCCCTTTCTTCTCTGGCTCCTAATACTTTCTCTGGATGTCTCATTTATTTTCAGCTACAAAAAAAATGTGCTCATTGATTCCAGATCTAGGACTCCTGTCCAGAGGACTGGAAATAACAGTAGGACTGCTATTATTTCCAGGTTTTAGTGAAATAGCAAATTGTACATGCCTCTAGTGATTTTGGCTTGTGTTTTACTATTGTCTCCTAAATGGTTTGTTTACAATAGGACATTTCATCACGTCAACCTTCACAGTTATCAGTTGTTTTTTTTTAAACCAAAAACAACAGAGCATGTCATTCCTTCCATTTTTTACAAATCTCTTATAGATTCCCAGGGTAGCAAGGCAAATTATCTTTGCCACCACCACCACCATCACCACCACAATCAGTCACCACTAAATGAGCATGTACTGTGTGCCAGGAGCTATTCTAACCTCCCAATTTCACTTTCTTCAACCCTCACACTCCCTGGTTGAGTGACACACTTTGTGCCGTCATGTTGCAGATCAACATCACACAGATACAATGCCCACTTTTCTGGCTGCATCATAGAGCCCATCCATGATTGTCCTCAGCCTGCTCTTGTTCCAGTGGAGATCTCTTACCATCCTTGCCTCTTTCGAATTGCTCTGCCTTTGTGTCTGCAGTTCCCACTACCTGGAATACCATTAACCCTTCATTCACTGGGCTAACTCTTACCCATCAGGCAACCTCCAGTCCTATGTTATTTTCCTCTGGGAAACTTTACCCCTCGGCTACTCTGTCACAGGACATTCTCTGCTTCTATGTGCAGTGGGGGTGTCCTCTACTGAATGAGGAGCTGTTAGGTAAGAATCACTCTCTTTCCATCAGTGTTTTAACATTGAACAGAATCCTGCTATAGAGAGTAGGTAAGGAGTCAATGCAGCAGCAGCTTTGTGAGACCAGAAGCCACGGCTGTCCTCAGTAGTTGAATGAAAAAAAAAAAAAGAACTGCTGTTAATGGTTTTTTAGCAAAATTAAGCAGACAGAACTTGCTTCCTTGCCCCTGCCCCCAGTCCTTGGGATTAAATTGAGGGCCTGGGCACGTCCCTGAGCTTTTGTGCTCTAAAACTAGTGCTCTATCATTTGAACCACAGCTCTACGTCTAGCACTTTTTTGTTCTTCATTTGAGATAAAAATCTCATGGACTTTCCTGCCTTGGCTGGCTTTGAATTGTGATCCTTAGATTTCAGCATCCCGAGTAGCTAGTATTACAGGTGTGAGCCACAGGTTCCTGGCTAGAACTTCCTATTTATTTCATTCCTTTTTTTGTCTTTTATAGCTCCCCCCCCCCCCCCCAGAGCTGAGGACTGAACTCAGGGCCTTGCGCTCGCCAGGCAGGTGCTCTTTCACTGAGCTAAACCCCCAGCCCTATCATTCTCCCCCTTTTTTTGTAAGCAGTAGCACAAGTAGTCTTGGTTCCCTTTTGAACCCACTTCAAACAAATCTAAAAACTAAGTGCATTCAGTATAGATGAATAAGAACACATTCTAATTAATTTTTAGGTCACCATCTCTGTTTAGAATTTAATACATTTTTTTTTTTTAGATTAGAGGACTATTGAAATGATCATCTATAGTCACTACGTAAGAGAAATAGAGCCGTGTGTCTTTTTTTTTTTTTTTAAGACTGACATGTTAGGGTTAGTGAGATGGAAGCTATTGCAATGAGATTACTTTTCATTGAGACGGGACAAGAGAAGAGAGGTAGGGGTGCTTTGCTGAATGCGGTGGGTCACGTTACCTGCTGGCCTGGCTTGATGGGGGAGAGTGTGATGCCCTGGGTGTTAATCACAGGCAGGATTTGGTTCCCAATGACGGTGGCGATGATCTGGCCCTGGGCATTGGTCAGGAGCTGGGGGGTGATGGGCTGCACTTGAAGGCCCTGAGTGCTGCTGGCCGCTTGACTCGAAGGCCCAGGGTTAGGCATCAGTGGAATGGTCCCAATGATCTGCAAGAGACAGGACTGGAGTTGAGGAGAGGATTGGTTTAGGGTCTTCATAGTGAGCGCAGGTGGACATCTCGGGGTACCCTGGATGGGTAAGAAACCACCAGAAGCTGATTTGGAATTTATGAATAGATTTAGGGTATGGATAAAAGAAGCAGAAAAAAAATAGAGAAGGGAAAATGGCACATGGACCATAGGAAAGGAAAAGCATTTTACTTAAAAAAAAATTAGAGAGCCAAGCACTCACTGGTAGCTCAGGCCTGTAATCCTAGCTACGTTAGGAGGCTAAGGCCTGGAGGATCCTGGCTAGAAGCCAACCTTGGCAGAAAAGTCAGTGAGATTTTACGTCTAAAATAACCAACAATAGTGTCAGGATGGGTGGGGAGGGTGATAGAAGGGGTGACATTGAACAAGATGCCTTGTATTCATAGATTGACATGTTGGATCGAGGCCTCTTTGTGCAGCAACTTAACGATAATAACAATAACAAAAACAAATAATGAACAAAAATCAGGGCTGGAGGCATGACTCAAGTGGTAGAACACCAGCTGTAGCAAAAATGCTGAGCAAGCACAAGGCCCTGAATTCAAAGCCCAGTATTGCCAAAAAGTAAAATGAAATAAAATCGGGCAGTTAGGTAGGTGTGGTAGCACATCCCTGTAATCCAGCACTCAAAAGACCAAGTTAGGATGTTCTTGAGTTTGAGGCTAGCATTGACTCCATAGTCACACCCTGTCTCAAAAAAAAAAAAATCAAAACTGTGCATCAGCAATGCCAAAGATTTATGCTGTCTGTCAGAACCAGAGGAAGGAAGGATTTCTCAGCATGCAAGGCCCCCATCTGCCAGGGAAGCTGCATTGTTTCTCACTGGGACTTCATCTGCCCAGGAGCTCTGCCTCCTACTGCAAGTCTATCCTATTACATCTTTGCCCCTGTCTTCCACCCTCATCCCATCCAGCCACCTTCCAGGTACCCCAGCAGGATAAAGGGTGGTGCTCATGGTGGTTGAGGAACAAATCTCAAAGAAGACAAAGAAACGGGAGCTCATTCCTTGCTGTGACATTTCTACAACCCTGGGTCACATTTTTTTTTTTGTGAGCCATGTATAGTTTATTTATTTTTATTTTTTGTTTCCCTTTCCCATCCCTTCCCATCCTCCCCCTGCCCCACCACCCAACCATCCCTCCCTCCTGCCCCCCACACCAAAGTTGTAAAGTTTGTTTTCGACATAACGACTTGTACATCTCATTGTTGCAATGGGTCCACCTGTATCCCTACTTAAATGATTTGTTTTTCCCCTTCCCCTCCACAACTTATACCGACATCAAATACAGTGAAAGCAGGAGTTATATGGTGGGGGACGGACATACAAAGCAACAAAGAAATAATCTTATAAATGTGTTAGAAACAATAGCATGAAAGAAAAAAACATTTGAATACATATCTTAGAATTCATTTCCTTAACATCAACTTATCTGACCTTTTCTGCTTGACTCAGACATATACTAGATATTGCAAATAAGGGAGACCATGGGACCTATGTTTCTTTGGGCCTGGCTTACTTCACTTAATGTAATTTTTTCCAGGCCTTTCCATGTACGACTATGTTTATTGCAGTATTACTTACTATAGCTAAGATATGGAACCAACCCAGATGCCCCTCAGTAGATGAATGGATCAAGAACATGTGGTATATATACACAACGGAATTCTATGCCTCCATCAGAAAGAATGACATTGCCCCATTTGTTAGGAAATGGAAAGGCCTGGGTCACATTTGTAAGGGGACCTGAGCTTTCTGAAGGTTTCCAGAGTTCCCCTCACAAATACATGTTTGAAGCTCTTCACACAGAAGTGAGGCCTGCAGCAGAAAACAGAAAGAATGTGCATTTTAAATGTCAGGTTACCAAGACAGGGGCCAGGCCAGGCCCTTTGTCTCCAGTAACCTCTGGCTTCAGTGAATGGATTGTGTGGACAGACTGAAGGAGGGGTTTGGTGGATCTGACTACTGCAGAAGGAGGAAGATGTCACAGGAGGAGCGTGTGTCCAGTGTCTACAGCACCTGGAGAAACAATGACCACTCACATATTGCTAGAGACAGATTTTATCTGCTCCAAACAAAAGAAAACAAAAAACAACCCCAAACTGTGAGTCAAGCACCAGTGGCTCACACCTATAATCCTAGCTACTCAGGATCACAGTTCAAAGCCAGCTTGGGCAGGAAAGTCCATGAGACTCCTATCTTTAAATAATCAGCAAAAAGCCAGAAGTGAGCAAATAAAACAGAACACCAAAAAAAAAAAAAAAAACCCTCAACAAATTGAGGGACATAACCCAGGCCCTGAGTTCAAGTCCCAGTACTGGCTTGTGCACACACACATACCCCACACACCCAAACGGTGGCCTGTTTCCTGGTGCTGTGAGCACTGCCCCCTGCCCCCGCCCCCCAGGGCAGTCAGGAGGCTTTCTGTGCAATGCACTCAGCACCCAGCAGCACTCAGCAGCATGGTTAGGAGGCCATGCCTGGTGGGCTGTCAAAGGTGGCCTCCAGCTGTGAGGTCAGGGACCTGGCCAAGAGGTGGCTGTGACACAGTGATGACTCCGGGGACCTTTGCACAGGCAAGGCTACCTTGCCTCCATTGTTCTCACAGCAGCTCTACAAGGTGGGGATTAGGGAAGTCTCCCAGGACCTCTGTCAGGACTTTGTACACAGCAGGGCTGAAGCTAGGATCTCTCAAATGCTTGCTTTTCTATTGGCTTCTTGCCTCCCACTCCAGAAGGCATCAGAGGACACCAGCTCTTAGACAACACCCCAAATCCTAGCTGCAATTTCCCACTAGCTGATACATTGCCCAGGGACTGGGTTTATAAACAACACTGCTGGGGCTGGGAAGGTGGCTCAGTGGTAGAGCACTTGCCTTGCATGCTCGAGGTCCTGGGTTCGATTCCTCAGCACCTCATAAGCAAAAAGAAAAAAACCGGAAGTGGCGCTGTGGCTCAAGTGGTAGAGCGCTAGCCTTGAGCTGAAGAGCTGAGGGACAGCGCCCAGGCCCAGAGTTCAGGCCCCACGAC